CTCTTGTGTACTTTGGATGGCAGAATTGTGCATTATAATATACTCACAGTAACTGGTAAGGTATGGAAAACATGCATCCACAGACATACTTATTATGCCTTTAGTTGGTCTGGACTGCTGCTTATGGAGAGAGCAAACACTGATTTACTGTGTTTACAGACATTTTTTTTCTTCCATTGAAATGGAGGTTGTCGATGTTGTGTATATAATTTTGTTCATGCCAAAGGTATGGGACTCAACCAGTAGTCTTATTCAGCGCCTGCATTTCACACAAACACGCAGGCACACACTCGCACGCTCTGTGATCCTTCAGCTACTGGGCGGGAATGGCATGGCCTCAGCCTGGTCAAAAAAAAGCTAATTAATCAGGCAGGGCAAGGAATGTGTGGGAGGAAGATACAGCAGTGACTCTCATTATCTTACTTCACAGCGCTGCTAATCAGTTCATCTATTGCTAATGATTATTCAGTGAAAGATTACTTTTTATTTCTTTAGCATTTATGAAAGCAGGCTTTCACACGTACTATGTATTCACAAATGACACACAGACAAGCAGGCACAGAATGAAGGACGGTCTTCCTCTGTGTGTTGTTACACCGAGGAAGAGACGCACAAACACACACAGCATCTTTATGTCCTTGTAGCGAGCTATGTGGAGAAATCATATTTAGGTTTTTTTTGTTATTCTTTCTCTTATCCAGGATCCCGTCAGGGAAAAGAAACAGAATTTGTTTTATGTATCATTCGCCCTTTTGCATACGTGTGGGTGGCTAAGAGAGAGTGTGTGTGTGTGTGTGTGTGTGTGCATGGAGTTCATAACAACCTATTAAATGTTTGAAATGAAATCTTCATACTATTCGATAAAGAAAAATTACCATACAGTGATGAAAAGGCTGATAAAATCAAGAAAGTATAGAGTAAAACATATTGAGAGGTAAATAAAAGTTAGGGGAATTCATTCACTTGAAGTTAGACGAACCAGGACGAACCTTGCTAGGGGTTTGATGAGGTAAGTTTGGGTTTTCCGTGTTGGAAAGGTGGTTCATTTACCTTGTTGCATCGCCACGGTAACTTCTGCTGAATACCTTACCTGCTCTGGAGCTGATTAAGTTTGCGATCAACACATACTAACTCAGTGCCTCTCGACTTTTCTTGGAAAGCATCATCACCATTCCTGGAAGAGCTCGCGGACGTCGACGCACCAAAGTTTTCTCCCTAACGAGCTCAGCCATGTGCCGTGACAGGTTAGGGGTGAGAGGGAGACAGGACAAAAGAGACGCTGTGGAAGGGAAACAGAGATTAATAATAAGTCATGGTTAAATGCAGAGTGGTGTATGAATGCATAGAGTGTGAAAAAAGGTGAGTGAAGAAGAAACTTTGCTCAGAGCAACATGGGAAGACCCCAGCAGCCTAGGCTTACTCCAGCGTAACTAAGGGAGGGTTCAGGGTCACCTGATCTGGCTCGAACTATAAAAAACAACATTTTTAAGCCTAATCTTAAAACTAAAGAGGGTGTCTGTAAAGATGTTTAAATATTTTTAAATAGGCTTTATTAATATAGCGCTTTTCCTGTCTTTGTGACCACAGCAAGGAAAGTGCATATATAAATTCATATAGCATTTTTTTTCACTATACTGCTGCACAGACCTTTCCTATTATGCTCATATCACCTCTCAGACATTGTTGCTGGCATTGTTGTACTTGTGTGTTTAACTTCCTATATAATGCATTGCTTTTTGCTTTGTGAAGCATACCATTGTTCTTCCAGTAGCTCTGTCTTAGACCATATTTGTGTTATATGCTGAAAATAACCAATATATACATGCACACTGTATGTGAGCAATGCGGAGGGAAATGCATTACAAATTAGCTCATTAGAGTATTCTGGTTACTTTGTTGTCCAATCAGCCTCAAAAACTGTTACTTTTTTATATTAGCTATTTGTAACTGTTGCACCATATTTCCTATGTTTCTTTTGTTTCTACCTCCCAACAGCATGCACAGGTGCATTTGTACTAGTGTTCAGTATTCAGTCTTAACTTGTGACATTGTTCCACTGAGACCCAAGTGTAAGAGAAATGAAGATGTATCCCTGGCCGATAATGAATGTTTGTCAGCTGCGGCTTTACATCAAATATGTAGAAGCACACCTGCAAGTCAAGCACAGCTCAACAAGACTGGTGGGGGAGCCCACTGAGGAGGAGGAGGAGTGCTGCACCAAAGGCTAGTTAGCTCAGCAAAGTTCAGCTAAGGCTGGAGCTCAGTCTGCTCACTCTACCACCTGAGCCATAGCCACCAACATTACCTAACACTGAATATGAACTATTATATAATGTAATATAATGTCCATATCCAAATGATAGTTTGAATCATATAAAGATTAAATACTGACCTGCTGGTTGTTACCTTTACTATTTAACCTCAAATATATTTTGTTTAATGCCGCTAAGCAAATGTCTCGTCACTGTGAGTGCTGACAGCATACAGAAGTTAAGATTACGCCATAAGCACCACGTTGGTTTTGTATCACCGCTTAGAAGGTCATGTAGTCTAGTTTTATACACTAAATTTTTAATTCAGTTAAAAAATATATTTTGCTCTTCTGTAATTACTAGGCACTCTAGAAAATAAGCAAAGCTTAGAGGATCACCACTCTCGCTCCTTTCCTTTCACCCTTCTCTCACATACAATCAGTACAGACACAAAAGAAAGAAGGGCATGAAATTAATTAAGCAATACAGTGTAGTGCAAGTTTGCAAGCTTCAAACAGCACTGTACACGTCAGTCTTTAAATTCAGCATTTGGCTCATTTTATTCTATCTATTCTATCCTAATCCAACTGTATCCTCGCATGCTGATTGGTTTGGGCTAGGGCTGTTTTTGTTGATATGTGGATCATAAGGGACACGCGCACATGGAAGAAAACTCCCGTGCTCCAAACCATCTGAGAAATATTACAGTAAATTCTCCATTTACTGAAAGGGGCCGACTTATCATTATTCCACACTGGAAGATTTTTTAAGTTAGCTAAATGACAGGAACAAATCCAGGGCTGTCCAAAGGTTTTAAAAGCCACAGTGCAACCATGCGGGCCCAGCAACGGACACACATGCCCCAAAAGTGAAATTTGCCAGAGTGTACAAAGTCTGAAATAGATGGGGTTGTGCAGACATAGCAAGTAGTGCACAGATGTTCCAAAAATTGCTTGAGTCATAAAATATAGTGTGTGAATAAACAAATAACAGGTAGAGGTTAGCAAAGTTAGATGGGCTGGCTCCTGAAGTGACGGGACTCTGTGTTAATGATCTACCGCCACCAACTGCAGGAAAGTTTTTGGAACAGATGGTTACCGTAGTGTGGTAGCTGGTGGCAGTCCTCCTTGCCTTTTTTCATCTCCCGACTGCCACATATTTCCTTGATGGACGGCCACAAGCAGCCAGTGACCCGCTAAGCAGAGAAGCCAAAACCTGCTCGAGCATTTCTTCTTCAGCAGAGATCGAGGGGAGGCAGAGGTGGACTAGGCTGTAATGGTATACTGGAGACAGAAAGCGAGGGAGAGAGAGAGAGAGAGAGAAGGTGTTTTTCTTTTTCTGTAAGAGAAACAAAGCTGCTGCTGAGCAGTACGAACCCGAGAGAAGGAGACGAGAAATTCCTCCCATCCCTCTGTCTTCTCTCCTCCTCCTCCCCAGTGGTATTAATTAGCAGCAGCAGATGAGTGGAGAACGGGAGCCTGCAGGGAGAACAGGTTCATGTCAGGTTAGCATAAGCTGTTGTGCCCCCCCCGTTTCTCTCACTCTCTCTCTTTCTTTTCCTTTTCCTACCCTCACAACACACACACACACACAAATACACACATAAACAATAGGGATTGTTATAAATTTAAGAAATATGATCTTCTCGTCTTTATGGCTAAAACCGAACGTGTACAAAAATGTGAGTTTTCATTAAGCCCAGCTTAAACTCCTCCTCCTCCCTCCAGTTTTACTCTGAACACAGCCTCTTGACATATTCAAAAAAAACCAAATCCAACCCTGTAGCACATCAAACGCACAACCACTGACATTATCACCCACCTCACGGTCATGGCGAATCATTGCCCTAGCATCCCTCTGCCTTGCTCCCTCTATCTTCACTGAAATGCGCTCCAGCCTCCTGTTTTCAATCATCAGTTTCAGGAGCGTCTGGTACGCTTCGGCTTTAATCAATGGAGTTGTCTGCATCTGCACCGTAGCAGCCCGCATTTCACTCTTGTCTAACCGTGACCCGTAGTGTCTGTTTTTATTCGACACGGTACGGAGTAGAAAGCAGAGGACTCCTTTTGAAGGCCTTCGCTAATGTCGAGACCGAGGTTCTGGAGCCAGACCCGAGTGAAACCCGAGCTAAAGATAGTAAGACCAGATTCTAATCTGAGTGAAGAAAAACTTGTACTTTGGAAGGAGATGAAGGACATGGCAAGGTCCCATAATGGTTTTGCATTGGTTCCCAACAGTCTTGACAAAGGCTGGAAAACGATAAAAGCTTCTGTTGCAGTGGACACTAATGAATACGGCTGGCTGATAAATGGTGTTTCATCCTTAATGCAAAGCCAACATACAGCAGATATTTCACTAAAGATGCTGCATAACGCAGCAGACATTTATCCTTGTTCAATAAGAGTATGTTTAAAAAGCATTTTATTTCTCTGTTTATCTATCTGTGCATATTTGTGCGTCTTTGTGTGAGTATATGTAAAAGAAAAAGAAAGAAATATAATAGGAACTGTGGAGCAAATATGTAACCGTCATTACTATTAATGTTATCACACAATTCAGACTTTTCTCATATTCTCCAGTCCTTACTGTAGAATGAAAGCAGATTCAGAAAGTAACTGTAATATAGTCAGCGTATTACAGTTTGCTTATTTAAAGAAAACGTGTAAAAGTGATGCCACTTTGTTACCACTTCATAATATTCTCTTCTTTTTCTCTTCTTTTCGTCCTTTTTTTTCTCTCCCTCTGCAGAATTCTATACGACACAACTTGTCCTTGAACAAGTGTTTTCTCAAAGTGCCTCGCTCCAAAGACGACCCTGGAAAAGTAAGTATTTTCTCAACCTTATTGTGCGACTTAAAAAAAAGAAAGCTGGGCGGCGCACGGCGAAAATGTCGAGTGGGTTTCAGCAGGCTTTGCGAGTACGTGGCGACTTTTGACGTGTTTAGTAGCACTCGTGCCACATGTGTGAACACACTGGTGCTTAAGTGCTCACTTGCTCTGCTTCTTTGTCACACACACACAGTGTCTGCGGTTAAAAGCAATTTGTAACTCCATAACCGGCTGCGCTGAATGCCTAATGCTGCTTTCTCTGTTTTCTGTGGCTCCTACGATATTGATTCTGCCAAGTAATAATGTGGTACAGGGAGTAATGAATAATAAGTATATGTAGGTACTCTCCCTCAGATGCAAGGCCTTCCATGCATCTGTTATGCTTTATTAGAACTGCTTCTCTCTGTGTCTCGCACACACAATCAGAGGAAGCTTTAGATATGTTTCACTCCTGCTGCTGCTGCTGTGGTTAGGAAGCAGCGTTGCCACGGCCACTTCAGCAACTCCAGTTTGATAACAACAATTTGTCAAGTGCTTGGTTGCGCTGAGATCGAAGGACATGCTCAGATGGGGAAAGTGTATAATTGCAGCTGATCACTGAACCCTGTCCTTATGCCATATTTTTTAATACAAGCTCAAACTCGTCACAAGGTTAATGTTGGAGGAGATCCGCCACTTTTACACAAAACTGAGGAGCCAAACTTTTCAATGAACTCTTAAAAACTCTGCTCGTTTTGTTTAGGGGGGTACGGTTGAGGTGGGGTTGGGGGAGCGGAGAGTTTCTCCCGGCTGCGGGGATTTTGGAGCCATTGAAAAATGAATTAGGGGGAAGAAGGTTTAAATAATTCAAACAAAATCCTTGGGCTTGAGTGGAGGCCTATAGTCTGCAAAGACACAAAGAGAGGGGCTCCCCCCTGATTAGCCTGACTTGGACCTGACCAGCACCTTAATTCACACCGTGGATCGAAGTGGTCGATACCTCGGCGTAGTGGTGGTGGGGTGGGGGGTCAGCTGTGTGTGCGTGTGTGTGTGTGTGTGTGGAGAAGCTGAATGTACATGCTCTGTTTGAAGCCACAGAGAGAGAGGAGAAGCTAAATCATGCATGTGCTAACGTTAATTGGCTGTGTACTGTTCAGTGATGTGGGACTGAGAGACAGGGGGAGGAGAAGAGGAAAGAATATGAGAGGTGGGGGGGGAGATAGATGTTGAGAGTTGAGCTGTGTGCATGTGTGGCCTAGATGAACCTCCTGAATTCAGTCTGCAGCTTTGGACCTCCTTGGGAGGGAAGAGGCAAAATGAAAGGCTGGAAAAAAAAAATTATACCAGAAGGAAATCTAGGAGCTAAAAGCAATTGATTTCCTCCTCTCTTATTGTATCTGTTTATTTTGGAGACTGCTGTGTTTTAACATTATGTATCAAAAGGATTTCGGTGGATTTTCTGGGGAAAGGATGCAGAAACGTGCACCACTGGAGAACTAAACCTAGAGAAAACTAATTTGATACTGGAAGAATAACAGATAAGTTGATGCTTTTGGATACGGTGGATCGTCCATCTCACAGCACTTACTTTCTATTTAGTGACACTTACTGCCAGCCTTATTTTGTAGAAGTAATAAAGAAGAAGCAACTAATAGATTCAGAGAAATAAATCCTGATTTATCTTGTAAGACATTGTGTTTTTGAAATCTAACATAATCTAAAACAGTTTGGGGAAAAAATAGGTGTAAATAGTGGCGAGTGGATCATATTTAATCCATGAGTTTTTGAGACATCTCTATCATCAGTGTGATGTTTTATTAAGATTAACCCCCTTAAATGTTTTGTTTGTAAGATTAACTGTGAGCAGTAAGTTTCAGTTTAAAAAAAATAAATTTTTTGTGAAAATATTTCATGGTTTAGACTTTACAGAGTTAATTATCAGAACAATATAAAAATTTAAAATTCATAATAAAATATCTTGGCCTGCAGCAGCAGTTCAAATGTTTTTGAGCCAAAATCTTTGAGAAAATTAAAACTAGAGTTCACTTTGGTTTGAACATCAAACACTTGTTGGCTAGGTTGTTAGTCTAAAGCAGGGGAAGAGCCTGTGTCCTGCAGGATTGAAATGTGTGCTTGATCCAACACAGCTGATTTAAATGGCTAAATTACCTGCTCAACATGTCTTGAAGTTCTCCAGAGGCCTGGTAATGAACTAGTCATTTGATTCAGGTGTGTTGACCCAAGGTGATATCTAAAGCCTGCAGGACACTGGCCCTCGAGTCCTGGGGTTCTAAAAAGTTGCTTAAACAATAAAAAGTGTATTAACAAGTCATATTTACCAAGATTTAAAACTGATTTTGTAGCAACATCTGTGAAATTGTAGGTATTTTTCAATATTTGGCTTATTGATGGAGGGGTTTGCTCTTTGATCAGTAATTCAGCATTATTAGGTAGGGCTGTTCGATATAACGATATATATCAGATGATCCAAAATAAACTGTTTACGGCAATATTTTTTCATCGTTTTGATGGTCACTGTAGTGGCTATATTAATTTCTCTTTCTCTTATATTTAATATAACCACACTACAGACGGACAAGCGCCTGTTTTCATGCATTGCGGTTAGCAACAACGACGGTAACAGCATCGCTTGTCCGCTTGTTTATGTTCCACGTAAACCTTTCACAATAAAGCTCAAGATCCTGTTGAGACTTTTCAAAATAAATGGAATCACGTGAAAGAGCAGATTATTTACGGATGAGAAGTAAAAAAGAGCCGCCAGGTGCTAAAAAATAAACCTTAGACTCAAACGTTAGAACAGGCTGTTCCCCCGCAGCACGCCGTGTAATAAATACTCACAAAGAAAACGGCGGCCTTTACAATTAAGGTCTAAAAATGTATCGTTTCATGCATCGGTTAAAACACTCGACTCCAAGTACATGACTCGCAGCTGGAAACACTTCCTGCAAGACGAGCTGCCCGAGATTCACAGAATTTACAGAAAATGTTACATTTTTGTGATTTATATCGTTATCGGATGATAGAATTCTTATATCAGAATATGAGATTTTGGTCATATCGCACAGCCCTATAATTAGGGCTATATTTGTTGCTGCTTGTACTGACTACATAACTTATGATGGGATGTTTATGTATAAATTAATCACTAATGTTATTTACTCTGTAAGCCAGATTCTCAGCTATCCCATTCTGTTTTATAAGCATGTAGAATATAGCATTAATATAAAACTTTTGGCCACTAGTATATGATCAAAAGTATTGGTCCGCATCTCTTAATCCTTCAGTTGAAGAGGTTTCACTTTCTTTGCCACTGGTGCATAAAATCAAGCACCTAGCATTGTAGTCTGCATTTAAAAGCCTTTGTGAATGAAGAATGCTGTTCTAAGCTCACAGAATTCAAGTGTGGTACTGTGATAGCTACCACCATTGCAAGAAGTCAGTTCATTTAATTGACTGCCTCCTAGATATTCTACCACTAACTGTAACTGATGTTGAAGAATTTAGGAACTACAGGAAGTGGCAGACTATGTAAGGTTACAGAGTGCTGCCTGCTGAGTTGCACAGTGTGTAAAAAAAACGCTTTGCTGATTCACTAGTTACAGAACTCCAGACTTTCTCTGGCATTAACATCAGCACAAAAACTGTGCACTGGGAGCTTCGTGGCATGCATTTCCATAGACGAGCAGCTTCTGTAGGTGAAATGAGAAGGTGGCCCAATATCTTTGTTTATATAGTCTGTGTGTTAGTGTTACTGCTATTGTTATACTTTATCTTTCATAAGTTGTCTGCTGTAACCTGGTGTTTTTGTCACTGTGCGTGGGTGACTAATGTAGATTTTTCCTCATTTCATTAAATAAAATTATCTCAGGAGACATAGAGTAAATAATTACATTTACCCAAACATGATACTAAAGGACAATTTTGAGTTTAAATCTTAGATTCAAATCAAATGTATCAACTTTCCTTTCCTTTTTCTGCCCAGACAAAAAGACCTAACATCATCATCAATACTAAAAAATTGTATTTCCAACTCATTTATTGATCATTAAATGAATACTTCCTTTTTTCATGTCAATTCAGTTCAATCCATTCTATTTATATAGCACAAAATCATAACAACAGCAGCCTGAAGGTGCTTTATATTGTATAAGGTAAAGACTCTTTACTAATCCAGAGAAAACCCCAATAATCAGATGACCCCTTATGACAGGGGTGTCCACCTCCAGGCCTCGAGGGCCGGTGTCCTGCAGGTTTTACATATCACCCTGGGTCAACACACCTGAATCAAATGATTAGTTCATTACCAGGCCTCTGGGACTATGTCCACACGTACCCGGGTATTTTTGAAAACGCAGATTTTTCTATGCGTTTGCACCTTTCGTCCACACGTAAACGGCGTTTTCGGTCACTGAAAATGGAGATTTCTAAAAACTCCGGCCAGGGTGGATATTTTCTAAAACTCCGTTTTTGCATTTACGTGTGGACGAGAAAAACGGAGAAAACGCAGAAAACACAGCGTCAAAGGTGTGCGCCTTTTTTGACGTCACAGTGTGCGCCACGTTATTGTTTCGGTGAAATGAATTTCTACAATACTGTTACTGTTAATTGTACTCTCTGCAGTGTTTAAATGCTTACATATACACACACAGTTACTGTCCCTCCACACATACGACTCGGCTCTGCTTCTATGCCCCAACTTTGTTTACTATTTCCCACCGAGGCTTCTAGACTTCTGATTGGACAAATTTTCTACACGGTTAGGAATATATCGCCACCTGCTGCTTTGGCATGTTCCTAGCAGGGTTTTCCTTCATTTCTGCCTTTACGTGTGGACGGGATTATTTTTTAAAACGAAAACGGAAAATCTCCGTTTTCAAAAATACCCGTGTACGTGTGGACATAGCCTGGAGAACTTCAAGACATGTTGAGGAGGTAATTTAGCCATTTAAATCAGCTGTGTTGGATCAAGGACACATCTAAAACCTGCAGGACACCGGCGCTTGAGGCCTGGAGTTGGACACCCCTGCCTTATGAGCAAGCACTTTGGCAACAGTGGGAAGGGAAAACTCACCGAAAAAACCCAAACTCAGGGAGGGGCATTCAAGACAAAGTTTGAAGCTTTGGACAAACCTACAAAGTTCAAACCACCACTGGAGAAAAACACAACAAAAAAAACCTTCCATCAAATATGTTTCTAATGTTTGTTTTACTGATGTTAACATTCAGGGTTCCTACTGGGCCATAGACACCAATCCTAAAGAAGACACGGTACCCAGCAGGCCAAAGAAGAGACCACGCTCTGGAGAACGAGTAAGTACACAAGTATTTTTGTATAATCCTGTTTTACTCACAAAAGGCTGATGGGGTATTGTTGTCACTCCGCCGGACAGATGGGTGGGTGGTCGGCGTGCATCTTTGTAAATGTAATACTTTGAGAATGAGGTGACAGAATTTGGAAATTGATGCTTTAGGTGCATCTGCTAAACGTCTCAGTGACATCTAGATCAAGATCAGAAATAAAGTTTTCTGAAAATCTGGTGAAGACAATAAATCGCTAAAGATTTTTCAAATCATACCATAGGTGCATCTACTAGGAGGCTGAGGGAACAGCTGGATGCCAGTGTTTCTGTTGTTGTTGTTTCGCTTGTTGTTTTAAAAGTCGTACCAAATGACTTCTCTAAGGATTTATTTCATTCCATATTCTCAAACCTGTGACAACTTTAAGGTGCTAATATCAAAGTTAGACATCATCAGAGGAGAAGAAAAATGGGATTTTGCTGATAATTCGAGCATTGTTGTAAAATGTCTGAAAAGAGAATTCTATGAACAGGAAAAACAAGGCATTTGAAAAAGCTTCCCAATACAAATGAGGTGCTAGAGAAATGTGTGAACAGACTTGCAGTCTTTCTCCTGTTCCCATGTTATAATGATGCATGGAAAGACTAGCAGTCCAATAATGTACCTTTAAACCTCCCCTGAAAGATGAGTGTAAGAGCCCTCAGCGGTACTAGTGGCTCTGTGAGAACTGACGTCTCTTTAGCTTGTTAGGAAGCTAACATTAGCTTATTTGCACAAAAAAGCATGTCAGTGTTGGCTGTCAGGTATCGTGTGGACCACGTGATAGGAGATTACCAAATGTCAATTACAGCCATATTGTGCCAGACCATCAGGTTGTACGTCAGACATTTCTCTCAAAACCACATCTTGCTCAAAGGCCAGGGGATCATCGCAGGCAGCAGGCTTCAACATCTGGTGACCATAAATCACTGCACAGTACCTCAGAGACCAAAAAATGTGGATTATCTTGTCATCGCTTGCTTTACCTCCTCCTAAATGCAGCCCGAAGTATCTTTTTACCCTTCAAGTCAATTTTCTTCTTTCTGCTGCTCATAACTACAGTGATTGTGCGCTGTGCTCGAACGCCTCGTGTCTACTCACAGATGGAGGGCTGAAGCTGCTGAGTGGACACGGTGTAACACCTTGTCTGCACAAGAGGCACAGCATGAGCAGCATATTCGATGCCGCAGCAATGTAGGAAAAAACACACCTTTTTTTGTGTAATTATTACATTTTAAAGCCACAAAGTACCAAACTTTATCTGCTTTTTGTTTTGTTTTTTTCCTCTGTGGGTTATTCTTGCTGTGCACTGCTCGATTGTTATTGACGAACTTATTACTGGGCTGTAGCGCAGGAGAATGCCCGATCACCGGTGCGCGTGCCTTCTTTGTAGCAGAACCAGAGCCTATGGTTGCAATTAAACAACTTTTTGATATTCATCCTCATATTCATCCTGGTTAATCCCACAGGCTTTGGGGTTAGCAATTTTCAAGATGCCATAAAAGCAGCAGGAACAAGCTACTGGATAGATGTGAGAATACAGAAGCAGGAATGAAAATTGGTTTTGGGAAATTGATTGACAGCAGCTGAGGCTATAAATATATGTAACCCTGCATCAACTTGGCAGAATGCGGCTGGTGTGCAGTCATTAACCTGGGGATGTGAATACAAAAGCAGTGCGGAGTGAGCTCCATCGTGTATTTCAAGTCTGCGTTCACCACTGTCTGCCATCATCTCTCTGTTTTTTGTTTTTTTTTCCTGACTCTGACTACAGTATGGCGTGCATTTCGATGTCTGTTTTCTTAGCGGCTGATTAGCACGCTCATAAACTAGTGTCGGCAGTTAATGGCCAAAATTTTAATACGGTTCAGATTCAGTATTCAGCACATTAAACAGATTGAATTCCTCTCTGATTATTACCTCAGTGGCTTAAATGAACTGTGCTTCCCTGGCAAAGGGATGCGTACTAAAACTGCTGCCGTATGACACAAAGACTTGTAGTCAGTCACAAACGAATACAAAATAAAACATTTAAATGGCTTCAGTTCAGTGATATGAGATCTGGTGACATGCAATATCATTGCTAGGCTCTGGATAACATGGCATTACTTCTCCCCGAAGCCAGAATGAGGCCACCAATTAGTGTAATCAGCTGGTGTAGTGGACCAAGCAGAAGATCTCCCAAAGTCTATTTCTCAGGGGTGAGGCGTACCTCCAGTGTGCAGGTATATATTGTATTAAGCAGATGATCCTCTGAATGTTGCATTAAAGGAAACACGGCGTCTTTTATCACGATCATCCGCCTCCCTTTCTCATCCAGCCAGTCTCTGACTGTTGGCGCATCTTGATCATTATCTTTCGCTTCGTCCGTCTGCATTTCTGCTTTAGCCATCTTCCTCTCTGGGGAACTGTGACAGGCGCAGCGCGACAAAGTGCACAATCACTGTAAGGTGTCGCTCATTGGAGAAAGAATTGAGGCAAAAGAGACGGAAAGGGTTGGGGAGGTACAAGAGAGGGGAAGAGCAGAAAGGAAGCGTGAAAGGAAGGTTGCGGAAAGCAGGAAAAAGACATCAAGGTAGCGAGAAGAAACAGTCAAGTTTAAGGGAAGGAAAAAGAGGTAAGAGGAGTAAGTGGGAGAGGAGGGAGGAGGGAAAGTCTTCTAGGCTTGTGTTCCAGTTAATTACCACAGAAGGCCCCGGGGCTGCCGTTAGACATATTTTCTTCACCAACGATTTTTTTTTTTTTTATTACAAACATTAATTAATTCAGAGCCTTGTCATCTCGTCTTACATGGATGGGCCCTTTGACCCCTTTTCTTACGCCTCACTTGCACTGCTGGCAGACACACTGTGGGCTGTCACATGGGCTAAGGAGAAACAGGGAGGTTTTAAGTGCTAAGATTTATGGCGGCATTACCGTCTGAAAAAAAGAAAAAGAAAGAAAGGTGGGCTAAATACATCTCGTGTGTTAACTGGGATTTTGTTGCACCTCGGTTACACAGTCAAATATTTTAAGTTGGCAGGAAGGGCTAAACGTCAACCGCATAAATGCATTGTATAAATGTGTAGACAGGCAAGTGTACACGTAGTTTAGTACCTGTGTCTCCAGTGCCCTTAAGCATAATCACTCTCTTTCATTCCTGGTAGATGCTTCTCTGTTTGCCTGTCTGTCTGTCTGCCCGTCTGTCACCACTCAATTATCTCCCTGCCTATTCTTCTATTCTGCTCTTCCTCCACAAGCCTTCCTCCTGCCTCTCTTCACCTCTCTCTTGTCTTCTTTTTAAGTGCCTCCACCAGGGAACCGACAACCCGTTTAGCTGGGAGTTTATCATAAATTAAAGATTGCATTGTTACCAACCAATCCTCTTACTGTAAGCAGTTTGGGAAGGCAGGCAAGCTGTCTTGAACCCTGAAAGGAGTCAGACAAGGAGAAAAAAAACATCTTCCCCGGGTTTCTTTTTTTGTTGTTGTTGTTTTTCTCTCTCTCTCTCTCTCTCTCTCTCTCTCCCCCTTTTTTTTTCTTCTTCATTTGGCAGGCATCAATTTAGCCCCTCATCGATCTTTGAATAGTTCCTCACGTCCTCACACTCAGTTAACCCTACTTTAGCGCTTTGTGAGGACAGCAGCGGAAAATGAACTGCTGCTGAATGCATTATAGGTGCGTGAATAATGCATGAGGATGGCTTGATTCATCTTATCAAGTGCAAGTGATGTGTCCACTTTCCAGGCTGTTTAAGTGTCCCGCAATTTAAATGAAGCGCGCCTCGACTAGTTCACACAGTGTGAGCCTGGGGCGTGATGGTGATTCAGGAGGCTCAGTGAAGAATCATGAACTTGCAGCACACTCAGATTTCTCATAACCTTTGTCACATTTCATTTCCGTCCTCGTTTTCAAACTCCTCTGGACATTTTCAATCAGTGGAGAGCATCCACAAATGATTTCTGCATAATAACTAGAAGGCGAGACTCTACTGTTTAAAAAAATATTAGTGCACCCCTTTATACTAATATTTAACCACACTAAACTCTATGTGAAAATTTAAAAAAAAGGCTATTTACTGCTTAAATCGAGTGACGGCAACAGGAAAAAACACTATAACCTTTTAGCATGTTGTAATTTAAGTGGTCTGAATTGAAGTTAGCCAATCACAAGTCCCATCATGCTATCACAGGTGAGTAAAGTAAGATAAGGATTCACCACATTAGTGTCTCATCCAGCCAGAACAGTTACTGTGTTCACATTAGGATTGACGTAAGTACTCTTAGGGATACGTGCACACTAATGCATTTTTGCTTGAAAACGCATCATTTTCTCTCCGTTTTGGCCTCCCGTCCACACTGAGGTGGCGTTTTCGCTGATGGAAATTGCAGCGTTTTGAAAACGCTCTTGAAAATGCGTACATTTGGAAATGGTGCTTTGGCGGCGCAGTGTGGACTGCAAAAATGCTGACTTTCTAAAACGATGACGCATGTTAGTCATATGATGCAGTCGTGTGACCAATTAAACTAAGATAGCGGAGGGCAGCAATTGTTTTGTTTGCTCTCAGTTTGGACAGCCCTATTAAAGATTAATATCAGTCTGTACATGCTCCAGATAGCTTTTCTTCAAATTCTTTAATTCTCACTCGCTTTTGCAACTTTGTACTTTTGTGTTACTCGCAGCAACAACTCCACCTCATTGTTAGTCCATTTAAAAAACTCGGTGCTTTTCCTCGGCCCTTTGCCGCAACGTTTCAAAGAGCCGGAAAGTAAATAAACAGCAGACAGAAATGAGGCAGGTCGAATCTTCTTGCGTTTCACACATGCGCAGTACTGGAACGTAAGCGTTTTCGGACGTTTCCCCAACGAAAACGCCGTTTTCAAATCCATCCGGGCTAGTGTGGACGTAGCCTTACTTACATGTTTAATCAAGATGTAAGTAAGAGTAATCTTTAATAAGGCAAAAACAGAGTTTGTACAATTGTACAGTTCTAACAATGTTGAAATTCAGTGTTTGGTATGACCACCTTTATTCTTCAACACAGTCTAAAATCTCTTAGACAAGCTTTCTTATAGTTTCTTTAAGTAGTCTTCAGGAATAATTGAAGACTAGACAAGATCCCCAACACCACTGGCTGAAACGCAAACCTGAACCTTGACAGAGCCTCCACAGTGCTTTACAGGTGACTCTTTTACCTGTTGCACCTGTCTGCTGACCTCCTTCTATTTGAATCCATCACCTGTTGTCATCAGTTTCCCTTCTTTAACCCTCAAAAACCTAACCTGTTGCTGGGATCAGACTGGTGTTCCGCAATGTTTTTTCAACATCTGTATCTCCCGTAACTCCTGAACCATTTGCTCAATTGAAAGAATTCCAGCGTTTCCTAAAAGCAGCATTTTTCATTGATATTAGAGTCATTACGGTAATCACAGGCACGATGTCGCAGCAGCCCAGCGAAGACGAAGATTGGTTGAGAAAGGAGAGAGACGCTAATATCACTGAAAAAGCATAGAGTTGCTGCTTTCAGATGAACTCGCCCGAGCTCCCATCGGTTTTAATGGGTTAAGATGGCTTGTCGACAGCCACCCTTCCACTGAGACCATTTCTGATGAGGCTTTAGTGAACAGAAGATTGATTGCCTGAAGGGAAGGATGCATCTCTCAGGCTCTTTGCCTGGTCTTTACCCCACTTTATTCACGTTTTTTTATGCACATGGTTTTCAGATACTTTTCATCAGCTTTATATCCAGTTTCCTCAGTTTTGTAATTGCACGACATACCACGCCAAGATTTCAGCTAATAGCTCTTTGGGAATCACCTTGTTGGTGAAAAAAATATTATTTTATGCCTTTTTTGTGTTTAAGTGATTCATTGGTCAGTGAGTGAAAAAGGAGCCAGTGGCCAAAGAAAGAAACTTTGAAATACCTTCAGAAAGCTCAGAGAACTGTTGTTTAAGACCACTTTTTAAAAAATGTCAAAAAGCTCAAAGCCTTTGCTCAGTACTGTACCTGCCACAACACAGTGTAACGTGTGGTGTACCTGAAAGGGGTACAACCGGCATCTTTAGTGTTAAAGAATGCTTCACATATCTCCACCTTAAAAAGTTGCTTTCCTCCTGCAGTTTTCCATTCTCTCTTATAACCCCCTTTCAAAAGATGAGCACAGGCTAGAGATAAGCCAGGGCTGACTTTTGGCTTCATAGGGAATTCAAACCCATTGCACCAAAGCTGGACGTTTTTCTGTTTTTTGTTTTTTTTTTGCTCTTAAGACTACTTACCTTTTCTGGTCAGAAAATGCCCGATTAGCCAAAGTCTCTTGTGGGTGCAAGATTTTCTAAAGCTTAATAAAGGGTATTTGCAGAAATTCCCTTCACTTACAATGCTGCAAGGTTGATGTAGCTTTCTTTTTTGCCCGGTGACACCAAAATAATGTTGCCCACCACACCTTAAAATTCCCCAGCCAACCAACAAGGTTCACTGACATTGCTGCTTTTATTTTATATCCCTAGCCTTTTATTCTATAGCACAATTATAATATAATACGATGAATTGGGTGTATTCAAACTTTATGCAGGGGGATATCAGGCAATCAGTGATGTATTTGCTGCACAGTGGTTTTTATGTCTTGTAATAGTCGCCACATTAAAGTCTTAAGGAAACAGGAAAAGCAGGGTTTGCTACGTGACTGTTTTTCGCCTGTTTCCTGTAAATGTGATCAATCTCCCCAGAGTGTACTAAATCACTGATTTGAATCAGTTTACTGGGCATATTGTGGAAGTTATAGCCAAATCAATAAAAACAGCTGGAATCTGGCCACAGATGAGAGGGAATTACTGTAGAATAAATGCGGAGACTTCAGAAAAGACATCATACGCATTACAGATTTTATAAAAAGACCTTGTGAAGTTTGTGCAAGTTTACGCAGGTCAGTTTGTGCTCTTTCACTTTTAGTGCCTGAAGCCACTGTTTATCCTGCCTTTTTCCCTTCATTAGGAAGCATTATTAGTTCAGTCAGAAACGAGTATTCTAGGCAATTTCACAACAAACTTTTTGGCTTGTCATTGTAAGAAAACCCCCAAAAGAGCTTGCAAAGAAAAGCGTCTGGACTTCTTTAAGTTACTTGAAGACGTTTCACCTCTCATCTGAGAAGCTTCTTCAGTTCTAAGGTCAATTGGTGGAGAGTCTCCAAGTAACGTCTCCAATTAACTTAAAGAAGTCCAGACGCTTTTCTTTGCAAGCTCCTTTGACTACGATGACCTGGATGACTGAGAACCTTCACAGACAAAAACCCCAAAACATTATTAATAAAATAATAATGTTTCGTTGCCTTCACGTGGGTCGTGTTACCAGGATACTGAACCCAAATCACTTATGAACATTTTCTATGCCCAGATTTTCCTCACACTGTCTCCTGTTCCTGCAGGCATCAACCCCTTACAGCCTGGAGTCCGAGTCTCTGAGGATGGACTGCATCATGTCAGGAGGGGCGTCTCCCACTCTGGCCATCAATGCTGTGACCAACAAGGTAGGGCACCAGCTGTTCATCAGCTGTTTCAATACAAAACAGCGCAACAGCGCAGGCATACAAAGTTTATATGAGCGGATACGTGGCTTTCATTCTCAGTTAGATACAGACAGAGGTTGGTTCGGCATTTGGCGACTCTCCTTTTAGAAAGAGCTTTTCTTCCATTTTGGCAAATTTAACAAATTCAAATAAGGATCCACAACCAGCAGAGCCAACATCATAACAAAGAAACAGCAAACAGTCAAAAAGAGAAGTAAAATCAGCGTGTCACTGTTCATTTTGACATGAGTTCATGAGGCTTGAGTTCTTTTGTTATAGCAATATCATCTACAACCTATTATCAAACATATCAGAATTGTTGTACGAGGTTACTGGATAACTGTGAGGTTGGAATTTATGCCGTGGTGGTGGAGGGGGCGTGGGTCAGAGGAGATTCATTAGCAGTAGGTTGGACTCTCTGGATTGGGATTCATTTAAATGCTGTTAGCTTCATTGACGATGACCTTATATGCTTCAGAAGCGACAGATGTTCCATTCAGAGCTTTAAAACAGTGTAGTAAACATCTTCAGCATGATCATAGTTAGTTGGCATTTATATGAATGAATATTGATTTCTTAGTTCTGTGCAATGATTAGTCATTTGTACTTGCTTGTGAGGAAAATGTGTCAAACTTTGTCACAACATATTTATAGTAAGACATAACTGCAGCAGAAGCAGCAGAAGAAGTGTCTGTTTTTTTTTTTCGCCTCTTCTTTAGAGGCTGAGACGCCTTCGGAACGAGTCTTCACTTCTAGCAGAAAGCCTTACGCGACACAAACACACACAAGCATTTAAACACTAAACTGCGTGTGATTGTCTATGTGAAGGTCAGAGATCAAGCAGAGACAGGGACCTCTGACACCTATCTGATCTGACGCACACACCCACACAAACACAGTAATTATGCGCAGTGGGTGATCCTTTTCGTCCTGTCCCCAACCAAAGAGAAAATTTGTCCCGCAGCAGCGCGCATTACTCTGTTTGTTCTGGATGGGATGCAAAGGTCTGGACTTTGCAGCACGTTACAGTTTTCCATTCTGGACTTTTAACAGACCCTGACTCATACTTCCCAGAATTTGTCAATATGAGACACGAGGATGAGAATTTCTGCACTTTTTTTTTCTTATCAGCGTTGTAGCCAAGTACTCATGCAATTTTAATTATTATTATTATTATTATTATCTGGAATTCAGTCCTTTTTTACTGTGAGACACAGCAAACAACAGAGTGCAGTGGATTAACTTGCCTACCTGAAATAGTAGATACTGCAGATCCTTCACATTTTCCACCATCCTTCTTATAAAAAAGCCGTTAATAATGTTATTAATCAATGCCGCAAAATGTATTGCAGTTTTATTAGATAATCGCTTAGACAAAACAAGGACAGAGCTTCACAAGCAGCCAACTTGGTGCAGATCATCAAGCGATTATTGTTTGGCGTGTTTGGCGTGCCACTCGTGCAGCAGGTGGAGAAACAAAAGGATCTTCATTTGATTTCTTTAAACGTGTCAGGTTGCACTCAATCCGCGCTACGCCAGGAAAGACTAAAACTCGAGTCGTCTCAGACATCAGTATACATTTTGAAACAATGATTCAGAGCACGGAGACCTTGATGATAATGATGCCGATGCCGGCATCAGTGACATCCGCCCACATCCGCACAGGTGGCGTCCTGCAGGCACAGCAGTGCGTCAGAGCTTCTTCTATAACACGTTTGCTCTCGCCGATGTTCTGTTTGCATTGGACAAAGCCTGCACTACTGAAGGAAGGCGTTCCTATAATTTGATACTGGGAATTTAGGATAGCGGGGGTCGAGGGGGTGGAGGAGGATCAGGATCAGATCATTGCGCTGAGTTACTGTAATGTTTGCATAATGAAAAAACAAATCTTTTATGATCTGTCGTGATTAGTGTTTCGGTTCTTTTCTTCTGTGTAGATTTCAACCTAAAGCACCTCATTAAACCTAAAAAGAAATCCCCGTTCCTTTACTTCCACAGTCAGGAGAATTAAACTTTCACCCAGTGCCGATATTACCAAAACTATTCAAACAGGAACAGTTCAGGATTTAACCCACTACTCAATAACACTTCTCTATCCTTTCTTTTTTTGCCACTACAAGATGTTCTGCAGTGTAGAGCACTGCCCCAGAGAGCCTTTAATGTTGTCTCACCCGAAGGCTGTATTTTCGCATTTGTCTATACAATTAAATGTTGCCTGGAGGTAATGTTGGCGCTGCGCTTCACAAGTCCTGACAGTCAAATAAAACAAGAGAAACATGATTCAACGTAATCCTGAGGCATTGCTCTTGAACGCTTTGTGATCTGCTACAATAAGATATACAGCGTAGTTGCTTCGAAGCGCAACTCGGTGTCTTTATCTAATCAGATTCAACAAGTTCAAGGTGGCAAAAAAAAGCAAAATCACAAGCTTAGGGTCGGTGTGTCTATTTTTTTTTTTCTTTCGTTTAACACAGCAAAAGGACAAATTTACATAGACCAGAACTAATATTTCCACATTTTCCTCATAACTTGTTCCATCAGTTAATGGTGCATGGGTAACTCCTTGAGTGGCGCGGCACTCACTTCAGTCTGGATATGAATTGGCGCGTGAACAAATATGAGGCAGTGTAACAAAATAGGCTACAAGGAACAATAAAGTCATGAATCACTGCCTTTGAAGGAGTTTATGTGGTGCGTTGGCTCAAATTGTTGGCCCCGTATAATAGCCTTTATTGTCATATTAACATCAACACTGTGTGTGTGTGTGTGTAGGTAGCGCTGTACAACCATGAGGCAGAAGGCAGCGAGAGTCCTGGGAGCCTGGGCGGCAGCCTTAGCAACAGCCTTTCAGAGCAAAGTTTGGCGTCCGTCAACCTCAACAACCGGAGCACCGCGGTCAGCAGTGGCAGCAACGTGCACGGATACACACCAGTAAGACCTTTGCTTTTGGTTGTTGTTGTTGTTTAGAGTGATCGCTTCTAGGTTTGATGTTTCTCGTCACAATTTTCCACTCAGAATTCAAGGACACTGCCACAGAGTCTGGTTTTTCATTCACAGCTGACAAATTTTAAACAAGCAGCATTAAAACTATTTTTACGTGTTCTGTGTTGCGTTTGGTTTTTTTTTCCCTGGATTCACTCGAAATAATCTGGATGATTCAGACACCGGTCGAGACACCAGATCAGTACAGAAGGTGTCTGCTGCACCCTTAGCAGACTGAGGAGGTGGTAACCAGCTAACAACATGTACGCTGGATCTACAGTACACTGCTCGCTCTCATTTTGTGTTTGATGCTCAGATTTTGCAGCCAAATATGTTTTCGCTCATCTTTAGCAGAGCACATTCACTGTGCGTAGAAGCAAAGTAATGACACTTTCTTTGGTTTTTCAAACAATTAGGCCTAATTGTGGTCACCTATTAAAAATAATCAAGGGGAAATGGATTATCTCTCTATTGTGGTGCTACTTTAACATGCATAGAAAGAATCAAATGGGCAACTTCAGTCATTGCTTCTTATGTGCAGAATTTATTTGTCCTCAGACAAGTGAAGCTGAGCCAATCCAAAGAGACTTTTATCATTCCTTCCTTCCAGAGGTATGGAAATGCAATTCAGAGTGCAGATTGATTGAAAACTCAGTTGCTTGTTGTTGAACATTGCATTCATATGGACTGATTATTTAGCTCGTGAATTGAATTTTGTTTTGCCGCAGACTATCAATACTCTTTGCAGCCGCTCGCGCCCCTCAGGGCCGAACACCACAAAATAAATTTCAAACCTGTGGGAAATGCTTTGATAGCGGCTTGCTTCTGTCATGCAAAAATAAAACAAGAAGCAAGTTTATCTTTGTTGGTTTTACTGTTTTTAGATGAGTGTGAGCCAGATGCTGCGTGTGTGTCTTTTGAAGATTATTTAATACTGCTGAACTTGTGCTCTGAAAGCTCTTCACGTCAAACCTCTTTCGACTTCAGACATTTTTGTAAAGCGCCAACACGACAATCCTACATTCACACCCACTTAACGCTGTGATTGGCCAGCTGTGCGGAGGTGAGAAAGGAGCGAAGGACTACACTCTAGCTCTTTTTTCCCCTGGTGGTTATGTAACTGCAGTACTGAGCAAAGAGTCTTGAGCCACCCCTCACTTTATGTTTTGATTTAAAAAAAAAACAGGCTTTGGTATAATTTTTTGACGTGCTCTTGAGCAACAACTCTCTAGGCTTTCAGAGTTGTTTTTGGACATTGGCTGCTTTTTCACTTATTTCCAGTCTTTGTCCCTGACCGTTTTCAGACACATTTGGGGGGTTTTTTGTTGTTTTTTTTAAATTAAGCCACTTAACACTGAGCTACCATACCCCACTAACTCTATTATTTCAGCAGGTCCCACACACTGTATACAAAGGACACAGTGATGCAGTCCCATGTTGTCCGCTGTTAATGTTCCTACAAACTTGGATAATACAAAGTAGAGAAGGAACTCTGCACATAGCTGAACTTGAACTATTCCTTGTGCCTTAAAACAAGGTCCTATTTAACTGAGTAGTCTTAAATAGTCCGACTTACATGATAATGAGCTGCCTGTTTATTAAAGAGGGACTACATTAGGAAACCAATATGTCAGAACATAAACTGACCCATGATGAGCTTTTGAGATTCAAAACAACATATTAATGGAGTGATTTTGGACCCGATTAAAAGTGACCTGATGTCTGAATAACTGAAGCAGCTCCCGTTAGTTTTCCTTTCAAATCAAGTCAAGTTGCTTTATTGTCATTCCAACTATGTGCAGTGGTACAGTACACAGTGAAGCGAGACAACGTTCCTCCACGGTGCTACATGTAACATATAACAGACAATCAACACAGGACTGCATAAAGTGCAAGTGTGCAAAAATTTCAAAAATCTCCCCCCAAAAACCCCCAAACAGTGCAACACGAGGTAGAACAGAACGATACAGACACAAGACAGTGCAGACGCAACAGTGCAATAGCAAAGTGCAACAATGACAGTGGGTTGTGCAAAAGACTGATTGTCTTTCACTACTAATGTAGTATCTACAGGCTTTAAAGAAGTGATGCTCAAATGTTTTTGGTGTCCTCGTGACCTTTATAAGGTACACAAAAAGGGGCGGTTCACTTACACATTCTTGCTTTGCAGTCCACAAGGTTCCCTGCTATGTCAACTGTCATTCATATTTTCACCTGTATATATTCTTGCTCCCAGTGGATAAACCTTTGTGAGCAAGTGTGCCTTTCTTTCTATTCAGTCCATTTTATTCTCCAAATCCTTGTAGTAGTGTAGCTACAACAGCGTTTTTCCCCCCACTGCGATCACTAAAGTTCCTTTCGGTCAAATATAAATATGGGAACTAGACAGACCTGCATTGTGTTTGATGTATTTGTGATCGTTTTCGCGCCTGTGTCCCTCTAAACCAAATGTAATACAGTTTTAAAGGCCAGTCTCTGTTCAAAAACAAAATTACAGGAGGGCTGAAAAATCCCAACTCTTCATTATCTCTCCCTTGTAACAGCTGCTCACCTTTTTACCATCAATCACTTTTCCCTGCTCACCTCCCACCTGCATTAGCAAAGGTCAGTGCAATCTCATCTCGTTAACCTCTCATTTCTAGAGGCCATCTTTTGTTTTCTTCCTCCCTAAATCGGCTCCTCCACCTTTCGCCCTCCTCTTCCATCGTTTCAGACCTCATCTGCGGTCTAGTCCGGTGGGATCGGGTTTAGTTCTGACTCATTACCTGAAGCAGGTGATAGCCCTCTCCCCCCCGCATCCCCTTGACTGACGGTGATTACTGGTGGCATTGCTGGCAGAGATCTCAGACACCGAGAGAGTTTATGGAAAGGCTGGCATTATTGGGGTGGAGGTAGATGTGTGGGAGATGTGTCGTCGTAAGTTGGCTTATATTGGCAGAGACACACTGATCACAGCAAATTGCTTGAGTTCTCCGGGTGGATGGTGAGGAAGATGACAGCTTGGATGAAATGAGGGTGGATGAAGACCGGCTGCATTCACAATATGCGGCAGATATGTGAAGCTTCGTATTTTGTTTTTGCTTTTATGTGAAAAGAAATGAGAGGCAGCAGCGATTCCATTTTAATTGTGTGAAATTGAATTTGGTATGATCATCACTGTGAATGGCTGAATTATTAAATGATTTCTGACAGTAATTTATATAAAAAAAAAGTGTCCAGGGCTCGGCTGAAGTTTTAATTTAATTCATTTAAATTAAATTGTATTATTATTGAATTTTACTTTTCTGTCTGCCAATTGAAATTCAGGTGTGTTCACTTAGGTTCAGTCTGTAGAGACAAAGAAGCCAAGAGGTTTGTTTCTAATGCATTTTGACTTAAAGGGAGAGGTGCTCTCTACTTGAGGCCTGTGCTAGGAAGCTGGATTTGGGATTATCCAGGTAGCTTCAAGGTTAACCCTGGGTTTGCAGTATTACAGAGTCCGTTCACTTCTTACTTGTTATTGTAGCCATGGTAACCTATCCTGCAGACCCGATCCAGGTTGTCGATCAGCAGGTATGAGATCACTGCTTACCAACCAATCAGTTATCTGGGAAATAGAATCACCATTTGTGGAAAAGTCCTTGGACTTTTGTGCGTGCAGGGTCTAACGTTTTTCATCTAGACTCTTGCTATTTCCCCGATGAGCATTAGACTGATTCTTAGACACAACTTCATTCCCTGATTACTTTTTTTAAAACAATGATTTTATTGTTCTATAGCCTATAATAAATGATCCCAAAACAGGGCATCTGTTCATACATGTGGACCTTAGAGTCTAAACCTACATTATAATTATGTTTTTATATTGAATCTTTAGGCTGTTCTCAGACCCTTAGACAAAATTGGGGCTTCAGCTGGAAGAATAACAACTACATCTATCTCACATGCATCTAATTCATCAGATTCTCACAGATTTCAATGTTAGAGTGTTGATACTTTTGACTATTGTACTGATTTTCTATTACACACATTCACACTGCTGATTTCTCTACAGCAGGAGCATTTCTTTCAGTTACCCTCACAGTTTTATCATTCTTTGTGAGATCAGCGGCTCGAGTGCCAGTGGAGACGTCCATCTGTGTGACTGGCCGGATGCTGCCAGCATCATCCCTTTTAATGTGAACGTGCTCATAGTTGGATTAATCAATCACAAGTTAAGTTATGAAGCTGTTAACCACCTTTGTGTGACAATTTCCTCTGATTGCTAATTTTAGGGTAAGTGAATAAGTTGCTAATATAATCTGACCAGATGTGCCTGATTTAAGGGTTAAAAAGCAAAATAATGGCCTCACAATAGTATTCATCAACAGGCGACAGGATCTGAGCATGCTCACTTAAGACTGGTCTCAGAAAACTATGAAGAATAAGTAATAAAAATATAACAGCAAAAGACAACGCTGGTGCTGCAGGTAAGGAACGAAATCGGTGCTGCATATGTAAATACACCGAGGTGTGGTTCAGCTTTAGTGTAATCTCACTGTTGTGTTAGAAGCTGTTGTTTCTAACACAACAGCTAAACTTTACAATACATTTAGCCATTCAGGAAATTCCCTTTTTGACCAGTTCAAAGTGAAATGAATTGTCTTCATGTAATTTTCTTCCTGATCCAGGCCCACAAATACACCGAGCAGTTTCTATTCTGCAAACTGTAATTCTAACTTTTTAAAATCAACAGGGCAGCAGAGTAGGAGGATGTACGAAAACGTTGAATTTCTGAATAACTAACCCCAACGCAGAGCTCCTTTCTGCTGTGTTTGATGAAAAGAATCTGTGAAAATGTGTTATTTACAGCTGTTTTTAAACTGGAGCTACAAGATATCGTGCTCCAAACCAGGTTATGCGTTTCCCGCTGGTTGCTATGGTTACCTAACCAGGTAAAATGGGAGCGACTTTTTGAGTTCAAGCTCAAAAAGTGTAAAAGAGTGTCATAGCTACCGCGGTGTAACCCAGGTCTTTGAAGCCTTGATTGTTTTTTGCTGTCGCCATCTTGGTCTCTTAATTATTTATATAGTACTAACCACAGCGTGTCACTGAGACCATTAACACAAGAGGAAAGTGTTTACAGAGGTCAAGTCAGAAAGCTGTTTCCTCACAGACTTCTATTGGACCCGTGGCATTTAAGAAGAACTCTGGTTTAAGGCACTCTCACACCAGGTTAACCCATTAATCTCACTTCAGATTATACAGATGTTAGAATTAACCTTCCAAAACTGGAGGCACAGGGCTTTGATGTGTGGAGGTGTGGAGTTGGAGATAATTTGTTTTTTTACATAGTGTCTATATTGTGTTATTAGAAATATGTCTGTTGTTGCTATTGAGTTTATATTAGTAACAAAGCTGGATAAATACTAGCTGAAAACTTATGGAGAAGAGGTGGGATTAAATAAATGTGCACTTCCTCCCACTTTTTTGGGGAACCTTTGTATTTTGTTTATGTGATCAAAATAAATTTTATTTTGATCATATATAGGTTTAACACATATGTCATCTACCTGATCCGTGCAGTCCTGAGTCACCTTTTGTGCTTCTGTTTTGCATCCTGTCTTTAGATTGACTGACACAAGTTATATTTTGTCACATTAGGAGCAAATATCTGAATTGTGAATCTTCTCTCTGGATACAAATCGCTGTTGTTTTGTAGCCGCGCACCGCTGCTGCAGGTGATGGAGGAAGATGGTGATGAAATACAATCCACTTAGGAGTAATCCAATAATTTTAAGCAGTTTCGTATGCGGTGAGATTTGTCAACTGAATGGCAGTTCCTTGACAATTAAAACATTTTAACTGAGCCTTGGTTTAAGTCGGGGAGGCACAGAAATTCTTGAAGTCACTAATATGCTCTCTAATCCTTCCATACATGCTCTGTGTATGACATCAGCAGTCAATAAAAGAACTAGGTGCCATTAGGTGGGTTTTTTTTGCGTATTTTATAAACATTAGAGCCAAGAGTTGGTTATGAATGAGCCAAAAAGTTATTACTATTTTTGATGAACCAGTCAAGCACATAAAACATATGCACTTGAACCTGCAATGCCTCATCACATTGAGGAACGAAATCTTTTCAATCGCAGTGTGAATTGAGCCTTTGTCAGGCGTTTTTCTGAAACCACGACGTTCTCTGATCTTCCCCGTGCCTTTTAACAGTCGCTCTGTCTCTTCTTCCTATCCGCCTCGAAGGTGAGCAGCCACTCGGAACCTTCGTCCCAGTCCTTGAGCCTCCAGCAGCCCGCCCAACCTCCGCCGCCGCCTCCTCCTCCTCCCCCGCAGCCCCAGTACGGTTTACCCGTCCCCGAGTCACGGGACAAGCAGCTCTGCTTCTCAGACTTCGAGGACCTCAGCTCTTCGTTCCGCAGCCTTTACAAGTGCGTCTTCGAGCAGTCCTTCTCGCAGCAAGGTGGGTGGTTTTGTGTGCGGATTAGTGTGCCTGCTGATGCGTACCTGTTCGACACCTATAATAACACGTGTGTTCATGGGGAAATAAAGTAAACTTCTGTGTGAAGCTTTGTGCACATAATTAACTGACAAGAATAAGCCCCCCCCCGCCACCACCACCTTTATAAATTCAAACAGTTTAACACTGGTTTCATAGCCGGCATTCCAGTATTAACCTCCACCACACACTCCTACTCTGTTGTGTTTTAATAAACAAACAATCTGTTGTTCCGCATATCTGCGTTTTACGGCTCGCTCAGTCAAATGAGTAAAGGCAATTAAGAGTAAGAATTCAACAGAAGGGGGGGGGAAAAAACTCTCAAACACATCTGTAGTCGAGCAGAGCAAAGGGTTCTGCAGCTTTGATAGCAGCTAATTAGATTGGTTCTAAAGTTTGCGAAGCATCTCGCTAATTGCTTCCTGACGCTTTCAGGTCACTAGGCCTCCTCCCTCTTGGACACCCCACCATCGCACCAACCTCCTCTCACCTTCTCTCTTCTCCCTCTCGCGCTTTCTCTCTCTCACTTTTTACTCCTGATACACATCAACAAATCTTCCGTAACCAAGGAGATTGATACGCTCTGTTGACCCCCGCAACTGCCGCCTGGATTCACCCTCTGACAAGGTCCCCTTCAATTTGTGGTCAGGGTTGTACACAGAGTACAGATAAGACAATGAGAATATAGATGGTGGGGAAGAAAACGGCACTGCGCTGAGATCTAAAAGGAAAATGAGGAAGAAAATGGATTTAGCGGATGCTTGAAAGGGACCTTTAAGTGTGAGGCTTAGCAGGAAACGGTGTCAGTAGTCATTGCATTTGAGAATTTGAGTCATCCAGACAGAGGAGCTCATCGTATCTACAGCGAGTCCAGGACCACACACCGCATTGCTACGGGCTCAGGCAGTGCCACTATCCTGAATTACAGGTCACAGTGAAGCAAATATGAACCTTTTCTAAAGAGCGAACGAGTGAATCAACAGCTGGGTCAGCTTGTGAAGTCTCATTTTACAATCTGGCTTTCAAAATTATGCTGCCCTTTCCCTTTTAGCCATCTTAAAATCTTAAAGAGAACCCTGTTATTATTCCCTTTAAATGCACCCGTACGGTAAATTAGGAAAGAGGAACACAGCCGTGGTAAATACAGTTAAGGCAACGAAAGCATTGAATATACGCACAGCAGAGGGGAATAAAGAGACTGAATGAAAAATACTCTGCACTCGGTGGTGCACTCATCGATTCGCTTTTTATCGGTCACAAAAAGTTCTGAAGAGATCTTGGAGTGATAGCAAATAAAGGAAAAGGTAAACACGACTTGAACAAATGTACCAAAGGAAGGTAACCTTCGAAGAGTCCGCCTTACTTTATAGTTGGACGTTGTACGTCCTTGGAAGAGCCTTTTACATTTAAGTAGTCACAAAACCGGGAAGCGGACAGCCGAGGTCCAGAAACGCTGCATCATTTGAAAATTTAATGAGGCAGCAACCGACATAAAGCTTCTTCAGTGTCGATGATGAAAAGGAATTCGTAGGTAGAGGTGAGGGAGAGTGTGTGTGTGTGTTTGTGTGTGTGAGGGATAAGTCAGAGATTCTTATGACAAATCAGACAGGAGAGACACCGGGTGATGTAGCCAGGCTGGCTCGCCAAAACCTACACCCCCAATCAGAGATGATGGGTATCACCAATAGTGATAATCCTTGTTAACCCAGGCTTTCTGTTTCACGCTCTGTGTGTGCCCTCATAAAAGGGCTTGTTTGAAGCCTACTTAAATCAGAAGCATTATCAGATGAATGGCTGATAGAGATCTATAAAGAATATATCAAAATATAATGGCAGAAGCCCGCACTGGTGCTGCAAATAAGGCAAGAGAGCAGCTGGCAGAAAATCGTTAATCTTGTGAATTCATAAGTGAATCTATTTATTTTACCACCCAGTGCTGACATTTATGTCTAAAGTTACAGCTGCAAGCTACAGGGGTGCCAGTGCATTCACCTCTGATGCCGTCCCACAGCCTGATGGCAAAGATGTGGAAGTCTGCTGCCAGATCAAAGTGAAATCAAATTTATTGATACATTATTCTTGCTGACAAATAGCCTCCACATAAACTGATCCGTTTTCTGATCCGAGCTGCGATTCCTGCAGTGTAAAATGGACTTGGATTCGACAAACCCGTATAATTCCTTTGGTGGTATTGCGATGTATAAAACATATTCCTGCTACTGAGAATCCATAGCAGTGGTTGTGCTTGTGTGATTGAATGGGAGGCTAGCTGTGGGTGACATATCAAGGCTTGTAGGTGGTTTAAACAATTGACTGACAATAATTTAGAAATGGCAAGCTGAAACTAATCCACATCCATGAGTTCAAGAGAGCAAATCTGAACGTGTTGTTGAAGGAGAATCTTCGGCTTTATTTGATTGAGCTGTTATAGTGGAAAAAAGGTGTCTTCTCCATCATTTTTGCCCCGTTTTTTAAAGTTTCATGTGTCTTTGTGTTTTTTTCCCAAGCAGGTTTGATGAGTATGCCCGGTGACTCGGGTCAACAGGCCCGCACCGCCTGCTCCTACCAGCACTCTCCTGGTGGGGGAAGCGGCAGCGGCCACCACCACCAACACAACCATGGCCAGACATCGCACCTCCCTCACCACTCTCACGTCTCCCCTCACTCCACCCACGGTCAGCACCAACAGCACTCTGGTCACTCCCAGCAGCACTCGTCTCTCTCCCACCAGCAGAGTCACGCTGTGCAGGCCTGCCCCACAACAGGTGAGAACAGGTTTACAGACAAAGGGCATTACAGCATGTGTAGGATCTTTGGTGTCGCCTACTGGTGAACAACATCAGGAAAAACATAGGCAGACTTTAGCAACTTTCTAACAGGGATTGAATAATACTTTGCCAATCAGAGTAATAATAATAACATCAATACATCAGATTGTACTGAACATACCAGATCTTTAAATTTGAATGTGAAAGCTTTCTTTTAACGATAACAGGAATGTTCACTAACAAAGCAACACGAGAGTCCCTTTGATTTTTAGTTAATTACTCTGGGAGAGAGGTTACAAAGGCACAGATACTCATTGAGGTGAAAGGCAATTCATGTACTTTAAAAAACTCTTATCCTTAATTACCATAATTTGTTTCAAAACCACAGAATTCAGTCAATTCGGAACAAATTTGCTCAGAAACCACAGACAAAAGATGCTTTATATCCCAGTTTCCATCAACATCTGGGGACGTTTGTGCAGACACTGCACAGGAGCAGGAACTGCTTATATGATGTGCTTAATATACACAATATAGACCTGACCACTGGTGTTTTACCTTGACAGCCCCCTCATTTAGGATATGGATAACCATAATTCTTTTTAAGATCTATTTCTGGCATTTTAGCCTTTATTGAAAGGGCAGGAAAGCAGGGGGAATGACCTGAAGCACATGGTCTCGGGTGCATTCAGACTCAGCTTCTGCAGCGGCCTTTCGGCATGAGGTCCTGCTCAACCAAGTGAGCTATGCTGGCATTGAGTATAAGCGAAATTCTTCTGGCCTGGCGAACAACTGGTTATGTTACACCAAAAGCAAACCTTCCTCACTATTACTGTTCACGTTATGTTTTCCAAGAAACAGAAAACCAGGAATCTCAGCGTCCTCGCAGCAAGAAAGTTCCCCCCTGCTGCCCTCGTGCCCTCGGCTTTCACCTACATCCAGAGATATGCCTGTCAGGTTAGCTGGTGATTTTAAAGTGGCTGTAGGTACGGTTGTATGCCTCTGTGTGCAGGGTGTACTCTGTGTCTTAACAGCTGGGGATTAGCTCCGGCGCCCCTTCAACCCAAAATTAGATAAACAGTTAAGAAAGAAATGGATGGCTTGATGCTTTTAGACATGGGGAAACAGGCAGTTAAAGAAATAACAAAGTTGTTTGCTTATCATTTGAAAATGGGTTTAAAATGTAAAACGTGTGCAACAGTAAAAGAAAAATAAAATCAAAATATGTTTCTTTTTATCTGGCGTGACTGTGATTAGCAGTGGGGGAGACCACCTTCAGGGTTGAAATGACAAAATTATGAAAATACTGTCCGGTGTTCTTTTCATTCCGATGCCGCTGTAGAAGAGAAGACCTCCTATTACCGAGACTTTCACTTTGAAAGCCCCAATGCTATTTCTCCAGTTTCTCTTCTTTTCTAATTCTCCTGAAAAGACCATACAAAGCTCAATGTATAGCTTCACATATATAGATGCACCAAAACACTGATTCAACATTGCAGTTTCCAAGGCCACATTGGTGTAACTGCAGTTCACCTAACACATCAGAATGGTACGTCTGTGTACGCGGGCATTGGATTTGTATTGTATTCTTTCCTCTATAAGGTCCCAGAGTGTTTGATTTTTATGAGGCTGAGCTGATACAAACAGGCTTCTCCAAATCTTCACGAGGCTTTTCCTACTCATATTCCCAGTCTTTGTGTGCGTTTTTTCTCTTCGTGTGTCTGCAAGAGAGCTCTCAGGCCAGTAGAAAAGCCTATTTAGACATTATTTATCTAGGTTAGTATTCCCCACAACCAAGCTGAGGATGAATGAAAGCAACCTCTCTGTCTTTGATCCACGGCCTGAGAATGTATTGTTGTTTGGGTTGTGGTGGTGAAGGCGCTGAAAAGAATCTTCTTTCTTTTGCCTCACAAGCAAAGCTATGACTGGATTTTTCTTCTTTCTTTTTTTGTGTAAACTCATGCCACCTTGTGGCTGTTTGCAGAACAGACAGATCTTTTTAAAGTGAATTAGTTTACCAGTTTGGGATCATCTAACAGTGTTGTGTTCTTCAGTATCACTGCAGATAACCAATGCTGTTTTATATCTGTGATTTGTTTCGGGGAGAAATCTTTTGAAACACGCAATTTAAAGACACCGTATTTGGTTAATATTCATATTTTATCGATTAGATGTTTTAATTCTGAATTTGATTCCTTTTTTATTTTACAATGTGATGCTCCAGGGTAAGAATAGTGTTTTAGAACAAGAGCAAATAAACACTGCCACCTTGCAAAGTCAGTTCAGAAAAGCTAAAAAAGACATGCATGTTAAATGACGTTAATATGGGACATTATTTCGATTCTTACCCTCGTTGCTTAGTGGGAAAATCCTTTGTTTTTTCCAGATTGTCTTTTGCAACATTTGGAAAAATGTTTCTTTAAAGAGATGTTTGTCTGTGTGTGTGTGTGTGTGTGTGTCAGTCATGTCATCAGACTGGTACCCCAACCTGGACTGGCTGAAGGAGAGCTGCCGCATCGCTACCAGCTACAACTGGGCTGACGTAGACCTCTCCCCGTTCCAAGGTAACGCAAACACACAACTGCCATCAGTGTGGACAAATGAAATGAACACTGATAAAGCTGTCTACTGCGGCCCGCCTAAACACGGGGAAAATTGATAAAATGCGTATCATGTCGATCAGCTGCTTTGATTAAACCATTGTGATTCCTCTCTGTGCTTTCATATGCGCTCGCCCTTGAGGCTCAGTATTATAATATCCAGTGTGGTAATAGTACTGCCCTAATAAAAGTCATTATCCTGCATCTGAGAGGTTCCCACTCTTATTCTCTCTCACACACGTACACACACACACACACACACACATAGACACACACAAGCTGTCTCGCTCCCTCCCAATTGTATGATGTGAATAATCCAATTAGGTCCCGGCTCAGTAACAGCCTCTTATCACGGTCAGCGCACAAAGCCGGCAACATCCACACACGATTGATGACGACGGCTGGTCCTGTAGCTCACAGGCCGCTGCTGTCTCTCTCTCTCGCTCTACTTCTGCAACGCTTGACCTCTCTCACACCGCCGTAATGCCATCCTCTACTCTCTCTGGCTCATCTCCAAACAGCAGGGACGGAGCCTCTTGTCTCTGTCGGCGCCACATACGAGCCATACAAATGTGTTTTTGGGCAAGATATTCGTCTCCATGTTTGATAAATGGAAGCTTGAGCTCGTCTTATTTTGGAAGCGGTAAATACCAGAGGAGGTGATTTCAGTTCAGCGTCTTCTACGTTGTTTTAAATGTGAACAGGCATCCCGTCGGAACAAAAGACGGTTTGTAGTTTCAAGGTTTTGGAACTTATGGTGACAGTAAACCATAGTGAGATTCTTGTGCTGGATGTGTCCTCACGGTGATGGGTGATAAATAATTTATTTCTTATTCAACTCGTGATTTGCTGACGCTGGTAAGAAAAAGTTCTGCAGAAGTTGTCTGGTAAAAGAAGGAGGGCATGTTTTTTTGCTGTAATGTTTAGCATGTAGAGTGACACATTTTAAGGAGAAATATCACAAAAATGATATGTTAACTACAATTTTAGATGCTGCAAATGATATTTTTAGAAGGGGGAAAATACAGGGTGGGCCATTTATATGGATACAC